TTCACCACCACACAGTTTAGGTCCATTTCGCCTTTCTCTCTATTATGTTATTGACCTATAGTTGCTGTCAGCAATCACCTAAAAATGGGAACTAGAGCCAGCGACCTGGAGTTCTGCAAATATCTCATCATCATTATAGCCATATTCAACATAACATCCAGCCATTCAAAAAGAGTAAGCAGTAAATAAAAAGTGACGATATTGTGATTTATACCATAGCTTCAGCTTAAATGGTTTTAATGCCCATTTGCACTCCTCAGATCAACTCCTTTGACGGGTGATTACTGATAACACCTATAGGTCAATAACATGGCTAAGAGAAAGGCGAAACCAAGGACTCGCATTGTGTGGCAGAGAACGCGTTAGCCACCGTAAAGAGTAATAGCATTTTCGGTCCCCACCGCGAACATCAGTGGCCCGAACTTTTGCAAATATCTTAGCATCATTATGGTTACAATTATTGTCTCCTGAAGATTAATGAATGTAATAGAAATATTTAAGGCAGCACGAATATGACATGAATGACAAATTCTTCATGAAGAATTAGAAGCATTTAGTCATTCGTCATTCAGTGACTCGGTGAAAACTTTCGGATGGAACTACATTATTACTATTAATGCTATTATTATTGCGAAAAAATTTTGTTGAATTTTTATTTTGTATGGTTGGTGCCCTAAACTTGTCAAGAAATTGCCATTTTTATTCTAGAAAGGTGTACATTTATAAATTTTAGATTTCAGCTAAACATCAAATTTTAAATGTTTAGTAAATCGTCCTTATTTGATTATAAAGGTATATTAAGGAATAAAGGATAAAGCTCTCGGCGTTGATCAATCCCTGAGGGATGCGCCATGCATTCGACTTCATTAAGCATCGTTTCGAGGTGATTGAATGCATATCTGGCCCGCGGTGGCTTAGCGATTTATCGAACCAGTGCTGCTGCTCTCCCAGACAAGTCTGGTACGAATTTGCCGATCCCGGAGGAAAAGGAATATTAGCAAATAAATAAAATTAATTAATAAAATAATATAAAAATTATAAAAATTAAAAAATAAAATGAAAATCAATAAAATCTTCAAAAAACTTAGTGCTCAAAAACGATTCTAAGAAGTACTTTATACAACAATTATGCGGACTTTCAAAAACGATTCCATTTTAAGTGGTAACAAACTCAGTTCTTTCATGGGCTTTATTTGATGTCAAGCCATTTCAAGTCAAGTCTATCGATTATATATTGATTACTCCGGTTGACTTTTCAAATATATTCTCATGAAGAAAACTGAAAAAGCAGACAAGCAAACTACGTAGTACATTCTCATTATTCAATAATAATAATCTCGAAATCTCTCTATCACGTTTGCAACTGCTTATATTATGACTTAAGGAAAAATTACCTGATGCGTTCCTCATTTCAGTTTCATACATTCCTGTTGGTCACCATTCTGGACATTTTCCTTTCAATTCTCTATCTTTATATTGACGTGGCCGTCTACCGTAACCTCGCCGTCGTCACTGTAGTCGTTCTGCCCAAAATCGATAAATTGAAGCCTAAACACGAGCCTAATGAAATGCCGGAGTTTTCTATTTCCTCTCTAAGCAAGTCATTTTCACTAATCAAAACCTACTATAGGCTAAGTAAATGTGTAACTCATTTCAGACAGACGTTTTCCCTAGAGAATCAGGCCCAAAACGCAATAATACATTCGCCAGTATTTCCAATTTCTGCTGAATTACATTCGATAGTAAAAAGATAAAGCGGATAAAGCGTTTAGTTTTAACCAACCCCTTCGGGAAAGAATCATACCTCCGTCTCCATTGGTGGCTTCGTAGAGGTGATTGAATAAATGTTTAGGCTATACAACGAGTTTCGGTGGCCTACCAAAGTATTCGATTAGTGTGGTTATGCATCATTATCACACGTGATCTCACACATTATCAAAGATTGGCATTTTAATGTGAGTGAGCTACATTACCCATCATTTTGAACACTGCCTCGATGGTCTCCACGTTTAAGGTTCTGCTTTCGTAGTGTTTCCGTCTTGGTTGTGAAGGCGTTTCGCTGAGTAGCTTGCAGTCAACTTAACCTTTCCAGGATCTGATGAAGGCGAAATCCGCCGAGGCGACAGCTTTTTTGTGAATAAGGAGTAAGATAACAACCTCGTGCTTACTCATCAAGGAGAAAACTGAATTATCCGAATAGCACCTGCTTGCATTGTCCAGCTAACACAAAGTTTACAAAGATTTTTATTCGGACAACGTCTCGACGTCTTCATTTCATCAGAACCCGTGATCCGAGTCGAAGACGTTGAAACTTTAGAAACTTTAACGGAATAAGCATCTTTATCAGCCTCGCTTTAGCTTTAAAGTCCAAGAAGATATTGATTATTACTAATGAGGTTAAATGACGGTGGTCTGCTGTTTTTACCCTCTCAGGCAAGTTTGGTAAAATTTTTCCGACACTACAGGGGCGCAGATTTCGTCAATCGAACCGAGGACCACGTGTGTATTCCCGAACATCTCTAACCATTGAGCTACATTCTTTATTAACAGGTAAAATTAGGCTAGCTATAGGAAAAATAGAAACTGTTAAGCCAAAAAAGTAGTTTTTGTGCTCATTTCTCAATTTCTTATTGGATTAGTCCTTTCGGAAATGCACTGGGTTCAAACAATGGAACAATAAAACGTTCTGCATGCTTTGGCTTCACACCTTAGATATCCTTCATTATCTTACCTGAAAAAAAAGTGGAAGGACGAAAAATTTTACGAAAGACTTCACATAGGTTCTCATTAGCAGAGGAGAATGAAACAGAAGAGTTGCAGGGAACTTTTCTTCCTCGCTCTTTACTGGTCAAGTCATTATTCTTTAAGTTAAACTACATGTGAAAAATGTTACAAACCTCGATTGCCTTGGCAGCTTTGGCTTTTCCTTCTTGTAGATAGTAGAAAAATTCACTACGCTTTCGTGCTGGATGTGCTTCCGATCTTGATGAGTGCTTGATGAGCAGAAACAGTCTTCCAAACAAGGAAATGAAGTTGGACGAATCAGCCGAATGAGGAAATGAAGAAGAAAAATACTTGAGAATAAGTAACAGTAGTCGAAGAAACTTCTAGAATAAGGAACCAAGGCCGAAGGGGATGTTCGTGCGGTGAAATCTAGGCAAAGAAACTTTCCTAGAACCAGATGGATCTGTTGGACATCGGAGAATAGTAGCACTTTCTCGTTAGCTGGTTGGAGGGGACCAATTGATCGTCGATAAACAATTGGATCAGCTGCAACCAGCATACGCGAAACAGCACCTCCATCGATTGACCACCAATCAATAAAGAATCACAGAAAGTTCTAAAAACATGAGAGATATTCATGAGTTATTCGCGACAAGTTCTCACGGTTCTTATGATGCCGAGAACAATCCCTGTGGTGATGACCTTTCTTTAACGAAAAAAAGTAAAAAGAACAGCTGTCGGAAACAGCAAATTTCTCCGAATAGTTCATTAACAGACAAGGAAAATCCGCCGACATTTATTTTTTAGATACGAAATATTCTGTTTTCAAGATCTTTCTTTTTCTGAAACCTAGAATTTTGAACGATCAGGGATAAAAGGAAAGGGAACGAAGTTCGTTAAGAAGAATGTGAAGCAGTTCGTGCAAATCACTTACAGATTGGAAAACTCCCAGTTGACTAAAACGACTCCGTAATTTTTTTTTACAGGAGACGTCAATGAAATCAGAATATTAGTGCCTCACTCTTGGTGAACTCGATAACGAACTAACATCCTCTTCAGATATGTAGAACATAAAAGTGTACTGCTAACTCTGGTTCTTCATACTTTTTATCTCATTTTATATTTCATACGCTTTAAGGCTTCTTCGTCTCTTTCTTTCCACTGTTTTATGTTTTTTAATCAATTTGTGCTCCACATCGAAATAAGGGGGAACATGTCGAGGCATAACAGCTCAAAGGTTTCTAACAGGAAAAAAAAAACTGTGCAAAAATATCTCGAATTCGTCCCACTTCTTTAACAGCTTTAGTTCCTCTATGCCACCTAGAAATGCACGAAAAATACTGAAAAAAGTTGTTAGAGTGGTGGAAAAAATTCCCGTTTCAAGTGGGACATAAATAGACGCTGACTGGTCAACGTACGGTCAGTTGAGTAATGAGCTTGTCTAGATTGCCTAGTGACAAATGTACCGCTAGGGTTGGAGGATGTAACAGATTCGTTACTGAGTTTTTATTTATACTTTACTGATACCATTCCTCTAACAAGTTCTTTTTTTGTCAAATGATTAAACACCACTTTTTAACCAATACGATTAAAAACACGAAAGGAAAAAAACGTTTTGCTAAACCTGTTTTCAATAAGAAAAAAATTCGCTGGAGACTCTAGGCGTCTTTGTGTCATTTTGTTTCCGTTGCCTCATAACGCATCATAAATATAATACTTTAGGGACGATGATAAGAACACGAGGGAAGGAGGTGATCGTGGGCTACCTTTTTAAATGATGATATCTACGTGCATGTTTTATCAAATCGATATCGAGGAGTGGATGTCCACAATTTGTCGAGTTTTGATGTTAACTTTTCCCGAAAACTCACGTTGCTCTTTCATGTTCTTAAATCTTCATTGCGCCTGCCATAATAACCACAAAAGATAATCCAGATTTGTATTAAAAAGTAAATAGAATTTCACTCCTCTGTCGTTCGTCGTTAAGTGTAAACTATAGTGCAACTGTAAATATGTGGTATAATATAAACAAAAAAAACGTCTGTAGCCCTCATTTAAGGGTGGAAGTACTATTTAAACAATGAGAAACAAATGCTTTTAAGCAGTTAGTTTTAAGTAGTTGAAATCAAAATCACTTAGGTGATCTTAGCCGTTGAAACGAAAAATTTGCAAAGTGGTGTCGGATCTATACGAATCCAAGAAAACTGGGATGAATCGGCACACACACACACACACACACACACACACACACACACACACACACACACAACGGGACGATGATAAGAACACGAGGGGAATTTTGTCGTTCCTCACTTGCATTCGCCCACCGCCCGGCTGCTGTTGGAATGTGGGCACGGCTGCGGAGAGGCGTGGCGGCCGGTCGTCGGCTGACTCGTCGGATTGTGCTCGGATGCTGGACAGCGAAGTGGAGAAGGTAAAGGCGATGGCGGTGAAGAACGTTTCGGTGGTAGAGATAATGGCTGTGATAGGCGCTTTGGTGACGGAAGCGATAATGGTGATGGTTTCAGCAATGATGGCTGCATATGAAACAACGGTGATGGTTTTTTTTTGGTTACGATAGTGGAGGTGGAGCTGGTGGTGGAGGTGGTGGTGGTTTTGATAGCAATGGCACTGGTGGACCGGTGGTGGTGATCTTCAAGGGTGCTAATAATGGCGGAGGTGATGGCAATGGTGGTGATTTTGATGGTGATAGTGATTGTCGGAGAGATGGCCGTAGCGTTGGCGATATTCGTTATGCTTATGATGGTGGAGGTGGTGGTAGCCGTGATGTAGTTGGTGGTTGGTGTGCATGTCGTTAAGCTGGAAAACAGGTAGTTGACAAAAAGAATGAGCAACACCTGAACCTGGCGATGATTTTCGTCTCGTGTTTTTGAAGAATATTTCTGGATTAATTCCGATGCAAAATCTCTATAGGCAAACTCATCGCAATTTTCGCTCTGTCCTCACTTAGTTGCTTTTCGTCTGCTTTTCTCATTCTCTAAACATCTTAATACTCTTTTAACACTACGATTTTCATCATTTTTGAATCAACATTCGGCCCCTTCAACTTTTCTCTGTGTCAATCAGCTTAGTGAGTGTTTCTAGTTCTAATTAAGTTGACTTTTTTATACGCCGGGACTCCTAACCGTGCCATAAATTATGACTATTTCTATTCTTCAACTCATCAACATTTCAACTAACTTTCTATGGCAATGTTATTCCACGATTATCTCTCATTTAAGTGATCTTGAAACAGTTTGTCGTTAGACTAGTTCGTCCACTGTGTCCTCATATTCGATCGAGCAAGAAGCCTACTAACAAGTGATTAGGAGAGAATTGCATGGGAGTGAGGTCTTCACCCCCTTAAAATTGAGAGAAGAACATGAGAAACTTTTCATCATTTTATTTGAAATAAGTCCTACGATTAATCCAGGGAAGCTTTGGCTGTCACTAATCCAAATCTCATAGCAAAAGCTGGCGAGCTAGCGGCGTCTATCATTTCTTTAAAAAATCGTGAAACCAGTTCCATTAGAAAGCCTGATAATAGTCGTATGTCTCGAGTCCAAAATCAAAAGAAGAATGGTTACAAGAAAATAAAATGAACACTTTTTTACATGACCCAGAAAGAGGATTTTCTTGTTGTTAGGATTTTAGCGTTCTTGCATTCGATTCGTTTCCTTGCATTCATCGTCAACGAAGGTTTTCAGATTTGCGTATGGGTTCAGTCACAGTTTGAAGAGTTTTAGCCCCTTCATGAATGTCATTGTCGAAAAACATTTTTTTTTGAAATCCTGAGCTAATTCTATTAGAACGTTTCCATGTCCTGACCACAAGCAGGCGTTGTGGATCGAGAGAGCTGTTCGAAAACGCGTCTGGATGCTACCAGTTCCCTGAACTGACAGGAAGAGAGTATAGGGGGATTCGCCTGACGTGACACAAGGTGGAACCAGTGACACTGCGTGTAACGTATGCAATCTATCCATCAGCCCGAAATCCAATTTCAAAGTTTTTTCCCTTTACAACTTTAAATTTTGAAGAATAAATCTTCACTATTTATTAATACGGTGTGATCGAGCCCATGTTGACGTAAATTCAAACTGATTTTCTATTTTGCTGAAGATTTTGTAGTTGTTCAAGAATGTATTCTTCTGAAATTAACGTAGAATTGCTAGGGTGCTCCCAAGTCATCATGACAACTAGTTCCTATCGTCAATCGGTGGTGAGAGAATCGGACAAGAATTTATCATCTTGCAATTGGACTTTCTTCATCACGACGGCAATTCGTCAAACTCGAATAGCTAAAAAGTCTTCGTTAGTATAAGAACCTATAAAACGAGTTGTTTTCTGTGTTAAAAAAGTCTCAACGTTTCTTTTGCTTAAAATTTAAATTTTCTGTGCTCATGCTGGCTAAAACATCGGCACTAATGATTATAGCAACAAGCACAGAAACAAAAACGACGAAAGCTACAGCAAAAACAAATACAACAATAAGTATGTGTAAATGGCATAAAATCAAAGCTATTCAACTTTCGAATATTCTCGACAACATGAAGAATTCCTATTAATTCGATGGGTCCGTCAAGCATCTCCTTTAGCTTTACCTATAAACGATTCTTTAATCAATCAGCTGACTGTTCAACAAAGAACACTATTCACTAAATAAGTCGCTTAAAGATCGTTTAGTTCTAAACCATTTGATCGATAGAGTGAGTGTGCTTTCAAGTGTGTGAACCATTTTCCCTAAGATGAGAGTCGATGCCATCACCACACAATTGAAGTCGGCGCACACCAACTGGCCAGCTAGTTCAGCGGCCAGGTGAACATCTACACTCTTACGGATTAATAAAAACTTAAAGCTTGTTCCACGGAGGTCCCTCATATGAGGGATATCGAGCCGGTTAGTCGCGAGGCTACGCGGCGCGTCCCAGGGTGGCGGAGAGGATTAGCCGCGGACCAAAGGCGACCTTTCCATACCTAAGACGCAGGTGGATCCAGGGGATGGACTCCCTGTTTTTCCTGCTCCGATTTCGCACATACTTTCTGCATTTACGAGGCGTATTCGCGTGTATGGGTGCGTTCAAGTTTATGCGGATTGTGTTCTACGAGCCAATTCAGCCAAAAGTCTGCAATCAAGTGAAGAGGAAATATGCGGGAGGCGATTAGGAGTCCCTCCAACAAATAAGCTCCATGTCCACTCTGGGAGAGACTGGCAAGCTACGCATGAGTATACCCAGCCTCCACGTTCAGAGCCCAGCAAGCTATACGTAGATATCAAACCGCTAAACGCAGTAAAAGAGACGGACCTCGTTCCCCTGACCAGGGAAGAGCCTCCAGTGTTCTGCAGCATTGGGTAGGATAAGTACGGAGAGGCTGCTAAAATCTAAGGGCCAATGGAAGCTGCCTGGTTCGCGAATAACTAAGGTGACAACCTGCACCTACAATGCACTTGCATCCGAGTCCTCGATAGAAGAGTTGCTCATTCAAGCAAGAAGGATAAAGTACGAAGTAATCGGCCTGGCCGAGACAAGAAGACACCAGACTTTCAACGCCGTCTATGACACCGGAGAAGAACTGCTCCTCGGAACATGCGACAGTAGAAGAGTCGGCGGCGTCGACGTTCTTGTCAACGCGAGCTTGTCCGCGAACATCGATTTATTCGAACAACTAACAACCCGAATTGGACGTTTACGATTGAAGAGATGTAGATCAATACCGGCTTTGACAATCTTCGTCGTTTACGCACCGACATCAAACGATGACGAAGAAGTCGAAGCGTTCTATATGGGCTTGGAGAGGTTTTACAGAGAAGGCCATGCATTCTTCAAGATCAACATTGGAGATTTTAACGTTAAGATTGGACCAAGAAGAACATATGAAGAACGTCACATTGAGACTAACGGATTAGAATGGAACGAACAGGGTGAGCGACCGGCCCTCTGAGTTTATCATGGCTACCAAGACCATCCATGGTAACTGGTAACTCCAGAAGCTTCACCCTCAACGCTGGACGTGGGAGTCTTCCAGTGGACAGTACCACAAGGAAATGGACCATATCATAGTAAACCGAAGGTTTTGCACGTTACTGTTGCTCCAAAATTCCACGCGGGATCAGACCACCACCTCCTTCGTGTAAGATTCCATTCATCGCAGAAAGGAGAAAGAGCCGCCAAATTCAAGTGACCAAATCAAAAACCACCATAAAGTGGGACTTATTCAATTCATTAGTGGACCACTGAGAAAATGCCGTTGTCGATAACATCGATAAGGAATAGGATTGGCTCATTCAACATCTTCAGGTTAGCGCTATGAAAGCTGATAGTTCGAAAACGTCTGTCTCCGGAAGCACTCGAGCTGATGCGCCAGCGTGGAATCGCACGAGATGCGGGCAACCGCGAACTAACGTCCGAACTCGCAGAACAATGCAGACAGGCGATAAAAGAAGATCTTAAGGAGAGAAGAGCAGCAGTAATGGTCGAAGCTGCAGAGGCGGGGAAAAGCATTCGCAAAGCCCACCGAAGCTTTGTCGATTAGAAGACCAAGATGATTGCACTCCGGCGTCCAAACGGAGCAGTTACAGCGTCCAGAAAGGCAATGAAGAAACTCGTTCACGAATACTACTCGGATATCTTCGATAGCTACTTTCACCTTCCGTTGTGTGAAATAAAGGAGAATGAATATGTTATACCATCGATACTCCCTTCCGAAGTCCAACATGCCATTTCATCGGTGGAAAATTAGAAAGCTTTAGGTCCAGACAGGATAAGATCTGAACACCTGAAGAACCTTCCGGCAGTTCTTATTAACACACTGGCTCGGCTATTCACACGTTAGCTGACTGAATGCTAGGTCTGTACTTAGTGGAAGACCAGCAAGACCGTGTTATTGCTCAAGAAGAGTGACCTACAAAATATCGACAACTATCGGCCAATCTGCTTGGTGTCTGTCGTCTACAAAGTCTTCACTCAAGTCATCCTAAACAGGATTCACAGAACACTGTACGAAGGACAACCATGTGAGCAACCAAGGTTTCGAAAAGTATTTAGTACGATGGACCATATCCACACGATAACAAGACTCACTGAAGTATTGCGCGAGTACAAAAGACCGCTCTGTCTCACTTCCATCGATTTAAAGGAGTCCTTTGACCCAACCGAAAGAGAAGCAGTCGTGGAATTTCATAGTCAAGGACTTCTTAATCAGTACAAAAAGGTTCTCGATGAGCTGTACAAAAATTTCACAACCAAGATATCACCATTCTCCAACGATCTTAACATCGACACCAAGGGTTAGGGGGTTTAGGCAGGGCGATACCATCTCGCCAAAATTATTCACCGCCACCCTCGAGAACGTCATGCGAACATTGGAATGGAACAATGCAGGAGTGAAAATCGATGGTCGGCAATTACACCATCTTCGCTTTGCTGATGGCATCGTCCTTGTAACAACAAGTACTAGCCAGGCAGAAAGAATGCTTGCCGACTTTGATTAAGCCTGTGGAAAGATTGGTTTTCGACTAAATCTCAGAAAAACGATGTTAATGAAGAACGGATTGGTTTCGTATGCCCCATTCTCGCTCAACGGAACGAATATCTCCGAATGCACCAGTTATGCCTATCTAGGTGGGGAAATCAATATGACGAACGACTTAGTTCTGGAGCTGAGCAGAAGGAAACGAATGGCTTGGGAAGCTTTCAAGAGCATCGAAGATGTGGTGAGGAAAACAAAGAACACCCGACTTCGAGCTCACCTTCTCGACTCAACTGCGTTAGCGGTTACTTTCTGCGTTAGCGTATACGTCAGAAACCTGGTCGTTTCGTAAAGAGGATGAAAAATCATTCAGCGTTACTGAACGCACAGTCGAAAGGACGATGTTAGGAGTATCCCGTGTAACACAAGAAAGAGAAGGAGTCTTCGAACTGCATTAACGATCAAAAATCAAAGATACCGTTCTATACGCCAAACAGTCGAAGATAAGGTGGGCTGGACACGTACTGCCTGTTAATGACAAGCGATGGACAAGAGATGTCAGTGACTGGATTCTTCGGGATGTCAAACATACCGCCGGAAGACCACAAACCTGATGGTCAAAGTTTTTCACGAAAAGCCTAGAAGAGAAATATGATGCTCGACGAGTCCCTGGATCAAGGAGAATCTACTAGGTTACTCTCACACGTTGCAGTAAAAAGTGGAAGATTTATGAAGGCCCGCTCGAGTCACCCGACGATCAACGGGACTACAGGTGATACAGGTGATACAGCTTGTTTTCAGCACTTTCTTGTTTACTTACTTGATACTTGAACGGCCCATCCTCACAGGTTGTTCAGCCCTCGGCATAATATCGATTTTTCAAAGATTTGTTTGTTAAGCCACTGTGGTTCGCCGGAATTCCAAGGTCGGCCAGGTCAAAGTCTACCCCTAATCTTCATCACCACGGGCAGTCGCAGCCGTTGTGGATCAGAGAAAGATTTCCCATCATGCGACTTTGATACCCGGATGGTGGTGGATCCTGGTATTGGTTTTCAATACATGTTGAAAAAATCATTGAAACACCTGGTCAGGATTTCAGACGCCAAGTGAGCACTTTTCTCTCGCAGATGGGTTATTGAACTCCACAGTTAGCTAAATCATCAAGGTGAGTCACAACCTTCTAGTTAAGGATAATGCAAAATCAACATCAAAAGACGCTTTGGTAAGCAACATGTATGGAAGAATTAACAGTCAGCTGTTTGGGCTATTGAATCAATAAGTGAAAGGAGGAGAAACGAAGCAGCAAAGAAATGAAAAAAATGATCGGAAGGGGTTATGAGCTAAGCAATGAGTCAATTGAAGAGAAATAATGTTGAAATAAAAACTTGACATATAACTAAATACTGAAAAAGGCAAGAAGAATTGAAAGGTAAAAAAATTAGAGAGAAAGAAGTAATAAGTGAAAAAGAAAAAAGTAAGCAAGAAAAATAAAAGGGTAGGCGGTGAATACTGCCTATCGATTTGAGACGATTCTCTACGATACAAATACAACGAGACGTTCGTTCAATTGCGTCAACTACGCGTCAAAAAAACACTATTGTATTCCGCCTTCGAAGGACCACCTGTAAAGGAGAACAATAGGTTTCAAAGGAAGAGAAATCTGCTAAAACGTTAACTTTCCCGAAATAAGCCAACAGATTGTCTGGTCAGGAAGAAAACAGTGGAGACAAAGATTCCGGGTTCGGTGTCCATGATTTGTTGTAAATCGTATGGGAACTAATACGTTGGCGAAACGGGTCCAACACCCTGCGTCGGTACAAAACAACACTTTGTTAGAAAACATAAAGTCAAAAAAAACACTGTACTAGGTATGTAAAGGGCACAAAGACGTAACGGAGAAGATTTCGCAGTAAGTGCCATCATCGAGCAAAATACTTTAGGCATTTTGCATACATGCATTTTCTCCATTTGGTTAGGGAGGTGTTTAGCTGGGTAGATTGCGGTCAACTTGATCTTTCCAGGCTCTGAGGAAGGCGAAATCCTCCGAAACGTCAGCTTCATTGCAATAAAAAGTAAAATAACACTTCGTGTTTGCCCAACAGAAGTAAAAAAAATTAGTTTCCAGGATCGACTTTCTCTTAACCTCGGCATTGGAATATGAATGTGTCGTTTTCTTGTTCAGCAATCGCGAAGTTTTTAAACAGCATACATTTACTTCCATAGAGAAACACAATACAATACAACTCTAGCTGACGTTTCGGCAGTATCGCCTTCTTCAGAGCCGCCTTTTCGTGACTTTTCGTGACTTTCGTGGCTCTGAAGAAGGCGATACTGCCGAAACGTCAGCTAGCGTTGTATTGTATTGTGTTTCTCTATGGAAGTAAATGTATGCTGTTTAAAAACTTCGCGATTGCTGAATAAAAAAAAATTACTTTTTCGATTCAGCTGAGACGGAAACAGTCATTGAATCGCTGGACATCTACATGTCCCTACCCACCAAACGAAGACTTCATGACTTATATAGAGCAACTTCACAATAAAAATCTCTCCACCCATGACGATATTAATATCGGCATAGAAGTGAATTTCTACCCAGGATAATATCACCTCACCAAAAGTATTTACAGACACTCTCGAGAACGTTGTGCAAAGATTGTAGTAGGACAACATGGGAATAAAAATCAATGCTTGACAATTACATCATCTTCCGACAGCTGATGACTTTGAAATCGCTCTTAGAAGACCAAGCATTTTTCTTTTCCTGCACGATCTGTTTCCCACATCTACTGTGCGGATCATGCCAATTCTCGAATTCGATTCGCTTCCTGGCAATTACCATTCACGAGAGTCTTCCAACTTTTTACGTATGGTTTCAGCTGCTGTTTGAGGATTTTCCTTTTGCCATGAATTTTGTTGAATGCTGGTCGAGTCGGTTCTCTCTAAAGTCCTGAGATACCGGGTTTAAGCGTTTCCATTTGGATTGCGGGAAATGAACTTTTCCCAGACAAATCGGTTACCAATTTCTCCACCCCGGACGGTTGAGAGCTCAGAGCGAGATCGAACCAATACCGTGTCCGCGGTAATCGACATCACTACCAATGTGTTGCCTACCAAGTATTAAACAAATGCTGGTTGACTTTGATAACGCGAACGGAAAGATTGGTCCTCTACTAAATCTTGCAAAAAGGATGTGCATGAGGAACAGATTGGTTTCGTATGCCCCATTCACGCTCAACGCAGCGAGTGTCTCCGAAAGCTCCAGCTACGTCTATCCATATCGCGAAGTCAACATGATGCATAAAAGCTCCAGAATAAAGCGGAAGAGAGCGAACGGCTTGGAGAACTTTCAAGAGCATCGAGGATGTAGTGTTAGAGAACAAAGAGCTCCTGGTTTGGTGCCTACTTTCTCGATCTCACGATTCTTCCTCTCCGTCACTCCACGACCAGGATGGAAGGTCACTCATCGTTTTCGGAAGCGCAATCAGGAGGGTGCCGTAGGGAATATTCCGTTTCACGAAACAGTGGTCGAGAATCAAACACGCTGTTCCATACGCAAATAGTCTAGGATAAGCTGAGCTATACACATAAAGAACATGAACGACAACTCGTATAGCGAGTCGTTATCAATTGGATTTCTCTGGATGTCAAAAGCACAGTGGAAACAACACAGATGTGATCGGCAGAGTTTTTCATGAAGTTCCTAGAAAAAACATACGAAGCTCGGTGAATTTATTAAGCGAGCAAAACCCACTGGGTCGCTCTTGCACGCGATATGGAGAAATGAAAGATTTGCTGGTGCCCGTTCGAGTTAATCGACGAACAACGAGCCGCCAGGTGAAGCCATCCCTCGATTTCCACTTAAACCACTAGATCATCTATTACTGACCAGCTGCTATGCTACCGCTGCTTTTCCTTAATTTAATCCATGCGTTATATATAAGGAGAGGCATGCTGCTCAGTGAGTAGCTTTACAGTGAACACGTAGTTGTTGGTTCGTAACCGTTACTGTGGAGAATTATTACTAGGTCATACCGTAATATGTAGTATTTGCAAGGGAGCCGTAAAGAGAATCTATTATGATGTACAATTTTTGTGATGTTGAGTAGACAACAACTCCATCGATACCGTTATCATCTGCAAAAACTTATGAGGGGACAGAAGAAGGACAAGAAATCAGTCAATTCCAAATAATCAACATTTAAGATGATGCTGAGATATTTGCAAAACTCCGGACCGCAGGTGTCTGCAGTGGGGAACGAACACGCTATTGCCCTTTCCGGAGAGTAATGCGTTCACCACCACACCATGCGGATCCTTCACATGATACCCTGCCGTTAAAAATTATGGTAGGCAGTAAATAAAAAGGTTAAGATTGTGAATCAACATTTACTTCGTTACTGCAAAAAAAACGAAAGATAAATTGTTATTACTTTTTCATGCACCGAAACACTCGTACATTTTATATAGGTCTAGAAAACTAATAAGCAAAATAGAACAATGGGAAATAAAAATTCTTGCTGAAGATACAAAATCAATCGATATACATGTATTACATGCTAAGGCTGACGTCAAATCAAGCATCTAGCACAAAAAATACAAGATCATACAACACTAAAGCGGTTAAAAAAGTAAACAATGAAGGAGAATGAATCAATGGATCGAAGATAAACTGCCTCCTAGGTCTCATGAAAACCATGGAGTCATATTGTTGTCACCACCACCACCGAGACGACGTCTTCCGTTGTTACGACGTCCAGTCATTGACATCGCTGTGGTAGGATTCTGCCGTATACATCATTAGCAATCATTGTGTATTATGTAATAATAATAATACGATATAATAATATAAAATATACCATATTAACATAATTACTTACTGGACTGTAGTAAGGAAATTTAAAATCTGCAAGATTCGGCACCATGATTGAGTTTGAACCGGAATCTGAAGCGCAACTTGTAGAAGTTCTTTTGCAAAATTTCACTTTCACCTATCCAATATGTTTTTTGTAAGGACTCGATTTTCACCAAATGCTGATCGATACACATTGAGACGAAACCACACGTGTTAGAATTATTTGTAAGTAAAGCAAAAAATTCTTTAAAAAAATTCAATCTTTGGCAATCATATTCACAAGGCAACAAACTCCTCATATGTAGCAGAATTTCTTTCCCAATAGATCCGCAACCTGTTCAGCAGATTTTGTAAAGAGCGAGAGTCATTAAGAATTTTTACAAGTTTTGTATTTCAAATCAATAACCGCCGATGGATTCGAAAGAATAGAATACCGAACAAAAAGAGAGAAAGAAAAAAAATAAGAGGCTAGGCTAGTGAAACAACAGACTTATATTCATTCGAGACTGCGCAGAGTTCTGAGAATGGATATGTTGAGGTGTAGTCAGTGCTCGTTGCAGACGGCTAAGAGTGTGGTCAACTGAAATTATGCCACATAATGAAAAATCGTAGATGTCACAAAAAATGTTAATGCTTTTCATGCTGTTATTGTCATTGTCGTTGTCAGTATCATTGTTGCTGTTGTTGTTGTTGCTGTTGTTGCTGTTGTTGTTTTTGTCGCCGTTCTTATTGTTGTCGCTGCTGTTGCTACTACCTATCGTTCTGGTTTTTGTTGTCGTTGTCGTTGTTTGTTTGCCACTGTTCTTCTTGTCGTTGCAAAATAAATGCAAAAAAGGTTTACTCACACATAGAAATATTTCGAATTATATTCGCAAGTGCACCACGTTGTTCACCTGTCAACGTCTTTAACGTTTCAAAGTCGTTCATCTGGAATACGTCTTTTTGTGACGATCAGAGAAGATGCGAATAAAGCAATGAAATTTTTAAACAGCCTATCATCGTCTAGCATTTCGGCTTTGATGAATTAATTACTGATTTGTCATTCGCCAACATATTGACGACAAAATGAGGCATATATGATTCACACGCATTTATTATATTGGTGTTTTTCTAAACTTTTGCAATTTCATACAAAAACTCCCATATAATCTACGGTCTATCTTGATTGCTTGGGCGCATGTGGCGCAGTGGTCAGAGGCGCCCTGCTACACAGACGTGGAGTCGATGCTCGCGCCCATAGACCACCAAGCTCTCCATCACTCCGGGGTCGGCAAATTAGTACCAGACTTGTCTTGGAGCATAGCAGCACTGGCTCGATACATCGGTAAGCCACCGTTGGTCATTGTAAAGGCCGGATATGCATCCAATCACCTCCTAACGATGCCTAGTGAAGTCGAATGCAAGACGCATCCCTCAGGGATTGATCAACGCCGAAAGCTTTATCTTTATTTTTTTCCATTTCGGTTGATGTATACCATTACTATTACTTAATTGTAACCAACTGTTGTTAACTGGTATGTGAGAAAATAAAATTTGAAAACAACTTAAAGGGAAAGAAAACTGAAATGGTCGCTGTTGCTTCTAACAGTGTAAATTAAAGAGTTGATTGAGCCGTGCTAATCAGTCTTCTTTTAGGGATGCGCCGAAAAAAATTTCTTCTTGATTCACAAGGACTAAAGGAATCTGTGATTTGGTTCGAAGTCATCGAACAGTTTTCGTAACGTACCATGGTGTCTGGGTACCTTACTGAGGACGATCCATGCAGTGACGGCCGTGAAGTGGTGCTATTTGAGCAGTACATGTCAACTCCTGTGTCCCCAGCTTCTAACGTTTGTGGACGAATGTTGCTCATGTTATCTCCACATATCGTATGTCCTGAACGTTTCATTAATCAATAAGCATGAATAAAAGCACGTTAAAAATGTTTGTAATTCCGCCCATGAATAGAATCAACCAGAAGTCGTCTTCAGCACCGTGCAATGGGCGTTGGCTTATTTCACAAGCGTGTCAGACACTTTTATGATTTCATCAAAGCAAGCAAGAAAAAAGTCGAAATATGAGACTTCTCCTGAAGGAAAGTCAACTCGACTCTCAAGTCGACGGTTCGTTACGCATCCATCTGTCACCTGGGAGCACCTGCGGTTCGTTCAACAACCGATTAACCAGAAAGGACACAAGTAAATTTCATTTGTCCCTGCCACGTACCGAAGTGCTTTTGAGGAAAAAAAACGAAGCGTATTCATATGACCCACGTGAATCCTGTCGAATTCTGTCTTAGCGCAGAAGTTGACTATGATGACGAAGATTCTTAGGTGGACTTTCGGATGAAAACGCTATACTTCCTCTCAGATTGGGTAACCTTACTGAGGACGTGAACTTGGCATTATACAACGCGGTTCGATGCACAGCACCGAAAGGATTTTTAAAAATAATTTGTAAGATCCGACAACAGCAGTGCAGCTTTCTTTACGACGAATAGACTCTCTTCGTCACTAAAACTAGGAATTATTTAAGAAAAATGAACCACATTGATATATTTGTTATGTCAGTAGAACAGTTAGTCATTTCTGTAATTGCGACTGCCCCAAGATCCTTACTCTTTTACAGAAACCGTCGTAGCGTCGATACAAACAGCAAATGTGTAGATACCAACATAGGGTGATAACAACCCCAAAGCACTCTATCCCATGATCAAAGTCGTCGAAACCGCCAAAAAACCTACCAGCAGTAGTTTACGACAATCCAAAAACATCTTCGCTTTTTAGAGAAATCGCTGATACAGGAATCGAAATTGTCAAATTACAGTTGCCTATAATAGTGACGTTGACACCAAAAGCACTTATCTCTTCCTTCTGCCCACTAAGAGAATTGACGAAGGAAAAATGGAAGATCTCAGTGAAGATGGAAATGGAGTCTTCGTTAGGCGACCCTCCTATCAATGATTTCATCAGATGCTTAGAATCAGAAACAGACAACGTACTTGCGTGTGTTCCGAGTTCTATTCCGCGACTCGCAGCGGCTTCTCTTTGGATGCGCCTCATGGCCTCGTGATCCGGTCGTAGACGATGGCTACCAAAACGTGTGCCCGCAAATTCCTTTATCGTATACGAAACATGATGTTTTGGTGTATATATGAACATCATCAGGTTCTGTAAAAAAACAGAGTTTTCCAAGAAAAAAAGAAGAAAGATAAAAAAGCGTTAAAGGAAGGAAGTAGTCGATTTCCGTTTTTTTCTTATTGTACTTACTGATTGCGGTAGAACAGCGTTATCGTCCGTATTTGATTGATGTACTGGTTCCAGTTTGAGTTGGACGTATGCATCTTCTACCTCATACACTGAAATGATTTTCTTCTCGTCGTTATGAAACGACACGACGATGATCGAAAATCGTTTTCACAGTTTTTCATGAGTTGTTTCACTTGAATTTGTAGATGAGGAAAAAATCTATTCACTCTTTAAACTTTTTTAAAACGGTTTAAAAAGTAGCTGAGGCAACCAGAACGTAAGATTTAAAAAGGTATGAGTCAGAACGGAGTATTCGCCTACGACTTCTTCAATTCGGTCGCTAAACAAGCCCTAAGTGGGTGAGAAATGCGCTCACAATCGTGACTCTTCGACATTCGATTTTTCTAATCGAAAAGCTCAAAAACATCCGAACAACTCTAAAATGTGAGCGCTTGGAAACTGGATCATTTTGAAAAAAAAAGATGTGTAGGCATATAAGTTAGTTCTTTACGTGGTATCAGATCATGCGCACTTTCTGCGGATACCTCTTCCTTCATGAATGTCGTTGAATACTGGTTGAAACGGAAATTATGGTTTCTCCGTGCATACCTTATAGGTAATCTATAAAAAAACCCATTCTGAAGAAAAATATGTAGTTACCTATGTGGCGATCAGTCTTATTCTTTTCTAATAAAAATCAAAAGGATTGCGGTTAACTAATCTTTTAGGAATACGCCATGCATTTCAATCCATTCGAGAAGAATGGTTACACCCATGAATGGCTTACAGGTTGAATTTCAAAGTTCTCCTAATCTAGGTATCAACTCAGTGTTTCTACCTTCCAAAACAAGTCTGGTGCCACTTTTCCAACATTGCTGGAAGGGAAGGCAGGTTTTCCCGGTATGTGATAATGAGTCAGCGGTCGTATTTATATTTCATGGCATCTCTAACCATCGTGCTACACTTACGTTTTGGTAAAAGGCTCAAAAATTGTATCAGATAGCAGATATCTCGTTAAGAACGTTACCAAAATCATGCGATAATGACCTGAATCACTTTCGCGGGATCTTCCTACGTAGAATGGCTTACCAGCTGCACCCATGTTCGATGCAGGTGATGTCGTAGGAGCACATTCAGGATTTGTTACGAAGGCCGGTAACGAGCAGTATCTTAAAAACATCTAACGAATTTACTGATAGTTTACGCCAATTAGTTCTACAAACCAGGAGCTTGCCAATCAAATCAGCATCACATAATATTCGTTCGGTCACCAGATAAAAGGGCAAAGTCAGAAACTACGAAAGCTCCTTCTAACTTTTCTCCGGTATTCTAATACTGAGATACGCATGGAAAAAAGTTATACGCACGGAAAAAATTCCTTTATGCTTATTTTATAAGATAACAACTCTGTAACGGTAACGCGACACAATATATGTTCACAGTCCTATGGATTTGAGTTTCAAACAGCCCATCTAATTCTACCAAACTGGTGGTCGAAATCACTTGTGATGCAACGTTATCGTATAACGCAAACTCGAGCTCAACATAGCTGCTTTTCTTCTACAAAAGTCGTAAATAAGCGGAACAAACTGGACACTGCTCTACTATAATACCCACTACGACTTTAGCACTAGGCTCACCAATACAACACTGGAAATTTTTAGGCATGTCGATTCGCCTGTGAATCTTACCTAAGTTACTAGGTTTTCCATCCTTATACGGCAAAGGTTACATCACGTTTCAATGTGATACAGTTGCTAGCTATAGTCACCTTTCACAAAGTTATCAAGACATCCTCTCGTCGCTATATTAGCAAAAGTAACTGGCAAACTGAGATTAAAACAATTGGATAATTGTAAGTTAATCGACGTAAGGTTCATACACCATCATTTATTCGGTAGCAAGTCATTCTCCATTCAAGATTCAAGGTACGAGGCAAAAACTTAAAAGAGCACGTAACGGTACAGAACGATAGTTTAGATGCGAGTAAAAATCAGCCTCATAATACTCCTAAGATCTATGTGATCACAAAGAGTCATGAGATGCTATACGAATTTAGAATATTGGTAAAGAATATACTTTCATGGAATCATCACTAACGACTTGAGCACCATGACTGACCCCAGATTTACGTATGAAGAATCTCGGGTCGGTGTGGATGAGGTGGAGAGAAGAGAGAAAGAGTGCCTTAGGTCGTTGTCAAGATCTTTCAGGCCAACGTAAAATGGCAGAGACCGCCTTGCCATAATCGATGTATGGGCTGACGGAGACCACTATAATGATGCTGAACACGCTATTGGTATTAAAAAGCTCCTTAGTTCTTCGCAGGACCGAGTCACCATCTCGTCAGCGCAGGATTCTTTTCGATTTCCCGTAAGGCAGAAAACCGAAAAACTCAAAAACCGAAACTACAAGGCTCTTGTATGTTTGTGTTTGCCTTTCTAGTCTTTGTCTGTAGCCGCCTTTTGGTAAAATTACTGTTACTGAGAAGATGGGTAAGAAATGCAATCGATTCCAACACTTCGAAAATAAGGATGAATATTAGCTTTCTCGAAAGTTGCGAATTACTCAATTACCATTTAAGAGTTCGAAAGTTAGGGAAAGTTTTTCAAAAGTTGGTCAGAGTTCGGAAGTTACGAAGGAACGCATCTCCAGATAGGGGTATTCTAATGTGCGGCCGCATGAACTAACAATCTTATGAATCAACTCTTAAAGTTATGCAAAGAAGTAACAAAATATGTTCTTAGCGAAGAGGAGGACTGAGTAATAGAACTGTAGAGCGGAATGATATACTAAACCTGTGTCTGTACTCCACCAATTACAGGAGCGAGATGACCGAACCGAGCTCCATCATTGTTGAAGAAGAGTCACTCACAGCATACAAAAAAGACATAGAGAAGATGATCTACAACTTCTGCTCCAGTCTCTTCAAGAACAGTGTTCGCTTCGTCTCCACATCAGGCAACGGCGCTGGATATACTATTTAAATACTTTCACTTCCAAACTCCAACATACAATCGTGTCAGCAAAGAACGACACAACACTGTTTGTAGAGAATTCGAGTGTAGACATATTTAGATCCGAATATCTGGAAGAGAAAGCGCCAGTGTTTTACAAGTAGGATTATTTTTTACATGCTAAAAAAGGTAAAAGTAAAGCTCTTGCGTTGATCAATCCCTAAGGGATGAGTCATGCATTTAACTTCATTGAGCACCGTTGGAGGTGATTAAATACATATCTGGCCTTTAAAATGGCTCGCGGTGCCTATCGAAACGTCGATCCAGTGCTGGTATCCTCTCAGACAAAACTGGTATCAATATGTCGACGACAGAAGGATGGACGGCTTGACGAGCCTGGTCGAGGAAATCGATCCCGTGAGTATTGCAGAACGCCTCTGACCACTGCGCTATATGCAACCTCTTTTACACACTGCCTGCTAGAATTCAAAGTTGAGAAGACTTGCGTGGCATCAGCAAACACGTTCTTTTGGGCTGCTTTTATATCGCCCACTAGCTCTTTATCCTAACAAAGCCTCTTTCCCAGTTTTGCTTACCTATGAAAACCAGGACACCGATAGAGTATATATAAGCGCTATGGTATACGCTATCAGAGTGGACTAGGACAATCCTCTATGAAGCATGAGATAGTGAGTCCGAGGTTCACAGCCATGTTGGTGACCAAAGTTGAAGGACACTGCAACAGGCATTAAGTGAGACGTCGAAAGTCAGTTAGCTTGAACACGTGGCTTCCCTTAAACAACATCCGGTACAGAAAACCTTCCTCTATCGTTTTATGAGTACAGAAGATATACATGCTATTATTTACTATGTGATGCTATACTGCATTATGCAAATACATTGCTGTCTTTATTTGGAAATATTTTCTAGTTTATGTCAAGTCTAGTTCAATATTTTTTATACCTACACATTTCGTAAAATAACAGTGATTCATCACAGAGTATGAAATGAAACGACGATTAATTCTTAGCCCAATTACCAGCCAATGAACTTTCCGTAAACCGTCGTGGACCATCGGTCTCACTCTACTATTTTAATCTGCTTTCGATTAGACATCAAATTAGCATTCATAGCATTGCAAAAAAAGCTCTGGAACTCACTAAACTCAATATGGACACAATAGTGTCCACAGCTGGCTTTATAGGTTGGCGAATAGGTCAGACGAGATGTCAAGCTAACAAAAGGAAGTCACCGGACTATTGACCACAGCTATTCAAAGAATTGTTGAAATAAGAACATTTAGCTCCTTGCTTCTCTTGAACTAGCATAATTTGCTGAGAGCACCCTTGCAGGACTATCTGTGGATTAAGAAAACGAAAAACTACTTCTCCAACCACCGTGATACTTGTGAGGTGAAAATTATGGCCCTTATTATTTGTAAAAATAAGTTACTTAAACACTTCTGTAGATAAATAAAAAAAGTGCGTTTGCTAGCTTCATAAATATGTTACGTCAAGTCGGGATCCACTCTTTTATCGCCTGTCCAAATCGGCACAGCAGCTGCATTTTCACCTGCTCGATAGAATACCTCTCCAGGATTGGCAAACAGCAAGATGTTATCTGTAATTGAGCAGTAAGAAACTCTCTTGTGTTTTCATTGCTTGTGGAATGAGTAAAGAAAGGTAGATAAGCTCTACTTTGAGTAATTAACTTCGCAAACTAGCATGGCGCCTGAATAGACAGTATGTGTTAGGGACACACACCCAGAAAGAACTTCGGATTCTAATCATGATATCTGAGTTTCTACTGAACTTGATGACAGCACTGATGTAGCGTGGTCGATGAATGAGCTTTGAAAATAGAAAACAGATTGTCTGCTCTACTTTTGCTTACCAGGAATACATTCAAGAACCTCTTCAGCACTAAGTCCTATTTCTGTAGCAGCAGTAATAATCAAGGGATCCGTGAATCCTTTCACTTTCGAACGAACGACTCTATGATGTTCATCTGAATTGATGTCAATAAATTCGTTAACTAGTGATAATATGATGATTACGATTTAAGATATCATGTGAACTGTTTCCACCTTTTGCCGGATCATTGAGTTCCCATTTGTGCTCGCGATAACGGCAAACTAAAAAGTTTGCAAGCTGACAAATGAAAAGGCTTCCCTAGAAATACGTAAAATAAGTTATGATATTATTGACAACTCTCAGCATCGACCTTTTATTAAGCTCGGCATTGGATTGCAACTGCGGAGTTTTCTTTTAGTAATCGCGAGGTTGTTATAGAGCATACGTTCAGTTCACTGTGTCAAACGCATCAATAACACATAGGGAAAGATGAAAAACGATATGGTTTCCACATGGTCAATACCTTCTCTAAAAACCGACATTTTTTTAACCCGTCTTCTACTGAGGAAGAAAAGAATAGCTGATCAGAGTCGATTATGGTTGGTAACTGCACCACCACACATCAAAAGTCGATGAGAAGATACGGGGCCAGATCGCTTGTGACCTCCGGCGTTCCTCCTTACTATTCACTGTAAGGTTTTTAGCACTTATCCAAAAAGCCTCTAAAAGTTTGCGCTTTGGTGTATCTGCATCCTGTGCGAGGATAGTGGCTTTTATATAAAAGTTGTATCTGTTATCTTTTTATAGTCTAGGAGTTCCTTTTGAGGTACTTTGTCATGCTTTTCATGCAAGAGTTGAGGTAGATATACCTGATCTCTTATAGCCTGGCGACGAACATATTGGTACATATTGGTGAAACGGGCACACCTTTATGTGTCCGTCTAGAAGAACACCTAGCTGCTAAACAAAAAGCGAGGCGAGATACGCCGATAGGGACGCTTAGGATGCAAAAGCATAACGGAGACGATTTTAATATAAAAGTCACTCTCCTCGCACGGGATGCCCAAGAAACGACGCGTAAACTCCTTGAAGATTTTTGGACGAATGCGAAAAATCCTATAACGAATAGCGGCGAGAAACGCCTAGAGGTCACACTCGATCAGGCCCCGTATCTTCGCATCAACTTTTGATGTGGGGTAGTATAGTTATCAACCGTATGCGACTCTAATCAGCTGTTCTTTTCTTCCTCAGTGGAAGACACATAAAAAAACGGTGGGGTTTTGGAGTTGTTGATCATGTGATTTCCACACAGATTTTCATCTTCCTGTTTGCGCTGTAGAAGCGTTTGTCCTCGTAAATTACATATCGATGAACCTTTCCAGGTCCTGAAGAAGGGGATACTGCCTAAACGTCATCCACTGTTGTGTTGTATGTGTTTCTGTACGCAAGTAAACATATGCTATATAACAGTTTCGCGATTGCTGAAGAAGAAAAGGGCGCATTTATTACTGACAATGGTCAAGAAAGGAAGAGAATACGATTCACATCACAAGATTGTTGAGATATTGGAAAAACTCCAGACGGCAGGTGTCTGCGGTGGGGAACGAACGCGCTGTTTTCCTTTCCGAGGAGTAACGCGTCCACCACCACACCATGAGAGAAACAAGAACTAGCTGAGAGAAAGGCGAAACGAAGAACCCGCATGGTGTGGTGGTGAATGCGTTACTCTCCGGAAAGGACAATAGCGCGTTCGTTCCCCACCGAAGATACCTGCGGTCCGGAGTTTTGCAAATATCTGAGCAATCTTGTGGTTGTATTTCGCTTAATACCCTACCATAAAAATAATAGAAGGCAGAAAATAATAAGTAAATACTGACAATTCAGATCGTCTAAATCTCATTTACTGTTTACTATTTTTTTGTTCATGACAGGGTGTTATGTGAGATACAACCACTATGATGCTGAGAGATGAACAAAGCTCGTAGCTAACCCATGTCAGATTAGAACGCGCGTTTACTCTTTCCGGAGGTTTCGTGTTGCTCAATGCACCACTGAGGCCCTCGTTTTGTCTCTTTTTCCAAAAGCCAGCAATCACCATGCAACGGAATGATCTGTGGAGCACAAAGAACATAAGTCGGCATTGAACGGAGTTAACCTGAACCTGCAGTCGAAATCACAATACTTAGCATTTTTGGGCCGTTTGATCTCAGAGAGCGCTTCAAGAAGAAGTGGTCGGGGACACCTTGTAATACACATAGGATCCTCGAGCACATGGGCCTCCAAGCCCTTCATTCCTCCGGAGTCGTCAAACTGCTGCCATACTTGTCTGGAAGGATAGCAGTGATGACCCGATACAACGGTAGGCCACCGCGACTCATTGTAAAAACCAGATTTGCATTCGATCCCCTCCAACGATCCTTAACGAAGTCGAATGCACGGCACATCCCTTAAGAATTGACCAACGCCGAGAGCTTTATCGTTTTATTTTTTTTAATTCTTACCCTCTGAAGGGATAACTGTGGGATCGCAGCTAGCGTGAGGTCTCGAGTTTTTGAAGTAGCTCAGCATCACTGTGGTTGTTCTTCACATAATACCCAGCCGTGAAGAAACCACGCGCAGTAAATAGAAAGTTAAAATTGTGAATTCGACTGGAGCCCCAGCTTAAATGGCTTCAACGCCGATTTTGCCCTCATATTAGTTTTGCTGATGGGTGATTGCTGATGGCATTGATCGATAGAACTAGCTGAGAGAGAGGCGAAACGAAGGACACTAAAGATGTGATGGTGAACGCGTTGGCCTCCGGAAAGGTTAATACCGTGTTCGTTCCCCACCGCAGACACCTGCGGTTCGGAGTTTTGCAAATATCTGAGCATCATTGAAGTTATGTTTCGGAACATACCCTGCCATTAAAAAGAGTAGGCAGTGAATAATAAGTTAAAATAGCTATTGATTAGCTATCAATTTATTGCTGTAAAAAGCCTGGACAAGCCAGTTGACATGTAGTGCGAGTTTAACATGTAGTGAGTTGCGTGTTGCAGTGTGTTGCCGGAAAACGAGGGAGAAATTGCATTTAACGGGTAAGCACAAGTAGAAAACTGAGATATTGCTCAGTTGTTCGAAAAGAGAATACCTATCGATTTCTCGATAAAAGACGAATAGAGTGACTATGTGACTATACAGACTATCTTGTAAGCATCAGTGGTGGTGTTAAACAGTGATTTGCTTATCAAAAATAAAACTGTTACCTACAAACGAAGCCTGGGTGGATTAGTTGACCATTTCTGTGAGTGACCTCTCAACGGTTTACCGCCTCATCGTGGTTGGGAGGTGTTCCTGGGTGTCGGGCTGCGATGGTACAGCCGGGGATTCATTTCCTTGGTAGGGTCTCCCAAGATGAGAAGGAGTCAGGCGTTTCCATCACGAAGCCTAGCTAAGAGCAAACCAATACCAGGATCCACCACCATCCTGGTATCAAAGTCGCATGGTGGCGAATCTCTCCCTGATCCACAAGGGCTGTGGCTGCCCGTGGTGGTGAAGGCTTGGTGCAGACTTTGGCCAGGCTGACCTCGGGATTCCGGGGAACCACAGGTGGCTTAACCACCAAGTCTCCGAGAAATGGTAATTTTGCTGGGGCCCGCACAACCAGTGAAAACGTGCCGTTCAAGTATCAAGTATGTGTGAGTGAACCAAGTGGAGTGTCCTTACAGATTTCTGATTTTGACACCCCTCTATGATTACTTCTTAGACATCCAAATCGCCTATTTTCATATACGCCATAGACTACAGTTCATCTAAATTGCCTTCATTTCTCTTGTAACTGCCACTGGAACTGAACTGCTCGCCGCTTTCTTCTGCCAACGGGCAGTATCAAATAGACGTTTTCTTGGTGTTTTTGGGCTTGAACCAGAGTTCTGAATTTACAAACTTGTCGTCCATTTTTTGCATGCGAATCAGGAAATGGGGAGCACAATGTCTTCTGCATACCACAATTGTATAACTCACTTAGTTCTCGCATTAAGATCGGCCGAATTCTTCATCTAAACCATTGCTGACCAATCGATTAGTATTCATTAGTTTTAGCAGTGAAGAGAAAAAACATACCGGACGTCGTGGAACTTTTCCTATCACGTACTTTGCCAGGAAGTTGACCAGCTCCTTCACTTCTGTGTACATGACGAAGCGGAAATGATTGCATGGGTAAAGTTCGGAACTGATATCAACATTAAGCACGACAAAAAATGTCTACACATATTTAAACACGTCAATGAATCTTGCCATATCGATCTTTTCACGTTTCTGGACGAAATCTCGCCTATCACTCATATCGATCGTCTTGGACATCTTGATCACTACGTTCCATTGACAACGATTTTCATTAGGACAGCTTCATTCAACCAGTTCCATTTAATTCAGTTTCCCTCAAAAGAGAAACCACATGACTATTTGAACATAGCGCTTGGTTGAACAATTTCAGAACGACATGAATGAATGACCGGTTACAAGGAATTTTTCTAAATTCTCGTTAACCAGTGAGAAATGAATTGTCTCTTGCTCTTACAACTTCCATGTTGTCTGGATGCTACCTTTTAAGATGATGGAGATGACATTGAAGGATATTGCCGGCTTCCACAGAGGAAATCGTATATTCTACAAGTTGCTCCTCATTTGGTTAATGTCAAAATTCCTGAAGTACTGCGTGTTGAAAATCAAAGGGGACAAAAGTGAAGTAGGTGGTGAAATAAGCAATAAATGTTTCTGAATATCTTTCTTTCTCAATGAATCTTTCACTTTTTGAATCCATTCAACGCGCAGCTTCCTAATTCAATACCATCTTATGGGCAACACAATTTTTATTCTCCCACCTCTTAACATGCGAAGCAGTTTCATGGTCTTCCCAGGTCTTATCACTTTAGGAAATCTTCGAACCTCGCCAGTGCGGCTGATGTTAAATGCCTTCGAACTGAGTTTCTTTCTGGACGATGGCGATCTCTAGAGAGTGCATTCTTCCCGGCGGGGACTCCATTGGGATATGAGCTTTTTGAGACAGCAGGTGATTATTTTACTTTTCCAGAGTACTTGAAACCTTTTAATTTTCAACATTCTATATCTATGATCTGGTCTTATTAAGGATAAAGGGTAAAGCTCTCAGCGTTGATCAATCCCTGTGGGACGCGTCATGCATTCGACTTCATTAAGTATCGTTGGAGGTGACTAAATGACTCTGACCTTCACAATGACTCGCGGTGGCTTACCGATGTATCGAGCCAGTGCTGCTATCCTCCCACACAAGTCTGGTACAAACTTACCGACCTCGAATCCACTTGTGTGTTGCAGTGGCGCCTCCAACCACTGCGCCACAACGCGCTCTTATACAAGAAGAAATCATAGCTCTTTCATAATGAGCTCTTTGTGCGTTTGCACATAGGGATATCCTTTTTTCAAGTCGTACACATTAGTATATTAAGGGCCACAAGTGCCTAAGTGTTTTGCATGCTTGGATGGAAGCTGTTGAAAAAAACTCCTGAAACAACAAGAGAAAGTAAATTTTGCACGAAGCCCATACAAAAACAATGGCCCATTTTATTGTTACGTCAAGGACTAACACTAATCAATAAGGCTTACTAAGGTGTTATAGCTTATTTATTCAAGATTGGTCAACAGGAGACAGGTGTAATCCTCTTGTAATGCAGTGGTTTACTAAATGTTACACAAGTAGCGCTGCAGAATTCGGAGGGATTACTCTACGAAACCCTAGGACACCTACTGCACACCGCGGACCTCGAACTAACCGGGTGCAACCTTTTCAGATGTCTCAACAAATGCTTCAATGGAAAATTCTACGGCAGGCTATGCTGGAAACGACATCGAAGAATTTGCCGATTGCAGAATTTCAAAATCCTATGGGATCGGAATAAAAAAAATCTGTCTCATTAAAAAAATATAATGGTTCTAATGGTTCTAATTTGATGAATAAATTTCTGTTTGAACTAAATTAGGGGTATTTATATTCGCTACTTAAAGTCAACAACTATTTCAATCCAACCCAATAAAATTTTTTTGTTTAGAGTAATTACTGAGTTTCATTGTTCGATGATCATAGAGTAAAGTGATAATATTCATGCTTCGCCACTGTGATACGGGTTTTCAGTTGACTTGTGGACTTAGGAGGATTACTACTAGTAATAACAACTACTATTAGATTAATCACTACTAGAAAGATCTGAAATTGTTAAACAGGCAGATTCTTCTTGTCAGTTGTCGTTGGCCGATTCACTGAATTGCTTCACTGGAATGACGAGAAGCCATTGAACTTATTGTGGATCGTAGCTGACAACTTCCAGTGAAAAGTCGAAGTCTTCCTTATCGATCGTCAAGCTCACCTATAAATAGAAAAACAGCACGAAAGTTTTTGAAATAGGTGAATTGCCGTTTTTCATCTATGCTTATAATTTCCATTCCTCATGACTTTCCTATGCAGCATAAGTTAGTTCGAAAGTATTCTTTGAATGAAGTGAATTGAATTTATAGAAAAAATACTAGGAAAGTCAATGTCTTTGAAAAATTTGTTTTCATAGACAACAAAAGTGAAATAGGTTTAGGTGTCGTTATTGTCCTGAAACGAATTAAGGAGAAAGACAAAAGTTGGAGATATGGAATAGGATGAACTAGCGTGCATAGTCCTCGAACATTAGTAAAAATCAGAGTTTGTGTAGCAAGTTTTTGAGGTAGGTACTATTCGTACTTTTAAAAAGCCTTTTAAGATTTTGTATATCTTGTTTTGGAAGAGAAAACCTGGAACTGGGTGTTGAATCGAGTCAAATACTTGGAGCTTAAATGTGAAGGGAACCTTCTTGTTCGTAGCGTTTTTGAACTGATAAGATTGTCCTATGACTAGCAAAGAAATAAATAGGAAATAACTGGTTATTACTAAAGGAAAAAATATTGAAACCTACTAATTACTAATGATCTAAGAACTATTTTAGTAAAGCCTTTAAAAAATTTGCTGTAGCTTTTTTTCCTACGTTAATTTGCTGTATTGTTGACGATTTCATCGTCGCTGAGGTTCTCAAGGTATCAAGGCGTAACCTGTGAAGGTGCATCCTCCACTAAGGTCATCTGAACTGGAAAAATGGTAGACACTTCCTGAGGATGAGCTAAGGACTAGTGCCACTGTAAAGCTAGGCGAGCTTCAGAGAACCATCTCGTCACCTAAGGCGAAGAAAAAGAATCGTGTGAAAGCGGGCTTCGTGTACTTAGGTCAAAGTAGCGTAGCTAATTGAACAGAACTCAATAAACGACGAAAGTGATAAAAGGCGTATAGGTTCCCACTTGAATTACTGAACCATTAAAGAAATTACGGAGCTAATACTCATTCCGTCCTCATTCTGTCGACATTTGATTTCACTACCCCCAGCTTATGCGTTGTGACTGGATATCTGGTTTTACTGTTGAGTCGTCTTTTTTCTGAAACTAAATAAGCACCTTTTTAAAATTGATAAGCCAATAAAAGGATGTTATGCAGTATTTGTTTGTCATTGGTTGGTGGGTTCTTTTCTCCGCGTCATTCTTCTCACTCACGGGTAACGAATGTTATGTTCAAATAGATCTTTGTTTATGTATTCATCGAACCTCACAGTAGTGCTAGAAGCCTTAATTTATGGCAACGTTATAAGGCAGTTTTAGTAAATAATTGATTGAATTTACATTAGATGAAGAATGAAACTTTCTAGGAGTTGCGCAGTCTAACTTAGTCGCAAAGTAGCAAGCGCCCTGAAGTGAAGAAGCATCGGTAAATGCTTGTGGTGGATGTGACGTGGCGACAAAGGAATAGCTATCTCCAGTCCCTAGAGAAGGGCCGTCACATCGGCCATTAAATGGCTAGTGATAAAGATCGTGCTGGAGCCTGGATGATTCTTCGTGGAAACAGTGACTGAATGAAATGAAACTTTCTACGAGTTGCGCAGTCTAACTTAGTCCCTTCTTTGATACGAAATGACTCAAGCACAAAAAATTGAACGTTGATCTTTTTGAGAAGATAAGGGAAAAACAAAATCTAGACCTAGAATAATACGCGAGCTTTACAAATGTTTTGACTGACTAGTCTTTGTCAATACTGCTTTGGTACTGTATATGTCTACGGTAATTCCAGGCTTTGAACTAGGTGAAATATACCAAAATTTCAACCGATGAAAAACAAATGCTGAATTAACAGCCTTCTTCCAGCTCATCAGGTATAGAAAAACCTAAGAACACCCTTAAAAAGTTAGTGAAAAGCACTTAACCTCTCTCGTCCTTTAAAATCTGAAAAGTCTTCGGTAAATGCTTAAAATCCTAAGATTTTCTCTAGAAATTCGACATTTTGTGGCGTGAAGTGCTGCACAAGACGACGACAAACACAACGTAATGCCGTCACCGTTGACAGAAGACGTGCAAACGCTTGAGCAACACCAACACCATCGCTTCCTTCGTCGATCAACGTGTGCAGCATCTCGTCCAGTCGAGCATAAGTGGATACAATCACATCAACCTGAAATAGACGAAGTGAAGCCGAAATGAATTTTTCAGATATAAAGCGAAACTTCTAGAAACACAGGTATTTGAGGTATTGACAGTATTTTTGATGAACCATATGAACCGTTACAAGGATTGATCGACGTCGAGTGCTTTACCCCTCCTCTGTTCTATTCAACAACCACGTTGTGTGAGTGGCGAAGATCATCACATGCTTTAAGAAAGCTTCGCAATCATCTTCGTTCAATAATTCTGGTCAATGCCTACCAGTTTTTTACCTCTGGAATATATCTTTCACTTCGTGAACACATTTTCAGTCTTGTTGAAAAAGAGTGAATATGATGGAAAAAATACCAACCTATATAATATTATGGAATATAAGAATACTAGTACTTATCTCCGCTGGGCAACGGAATATCTTGTAAATTTTCGTGGCTCACAAGATGGAATCACTTCTTCATTGCATTTTGGATGTAAAACTTCCGTACAACTTTCATCAGCTGCGATCGAATCTCATTCAGGCATAGGTCTCATTGTTATAGAATACATCCAAGAGATAAAAATATTTGATGGTTTGGGCGAATGCCGTCCCAACTCAATTCTGTCAGTATCTTTGATGTATAAAGTGGTGTGGTCTTCGTCAGCTGAAAGCTTTGTGCTGTCTTATCGCAATGTGCTCTTCATCAGCCAACTTGCAGGATATGAAGTTTACAGTGGTCTCTTTCAGAGTACGACATTGGCGACTTATACTCTGACATCGGCATCTCTTTCGTGATCGAAGGTGGAGACCATGGAGTACTTCCACCCATGTAATTGGTGAATAAATAGAATACACAAATGCATGGACGCGTTTAGATCCACTAGATAGCTGGGAACTTGGTTTCGACTTCGTATCTTCTAATTTTGGTAAGGGCTGGTGTAAAGCAGTGGCCTGAGGTGTTCCGCAATACACAAGCGTCCGGAGCTTTATCCTTCTTTATCTTCTTTAAATTTCGACGCTTTGGTTTTAAGTGTGGTATTATCTCGCTTCGCATTTCTATGCTGTAATTTTTGACTGAATAGTAGACCATGTTTAACTCAGGTTATTGCAATGAAGAAATGCAACTGAACCATTTTTTAAATATTTCGATAGATACAAATTAGTTCATTAATGTGGGTCTAAATCTTGATGCGAGAGACCGACAGTAGCTTTCAAACAGCTCATATGCGAACGCTTTGGAAACCATGTGAACAAATTAGGAGAATATTAGTTTTAAATTTGCTTTTTATATAGTGCCTTTCTTTTATCCGGGTTCAAACTGTTAGGATTGTAATTCGAAAGAGCATCTAAGAATGTTAGAGAAACGCCGATGTATAGAGTGGGTTAAGAAAAAAATAGTAGTTTAATGAACTACCACTGATGGATCGAGCATATTGCTGGGATCAAATATGAACATGGCGCTAAGAATGGCTAGTATCCTATCGTCAAGTTGGAGAACAGCCATTGATCTTGCCAAAGCAAAGAACCTTGTAAGCAACTCATGAAGTTCACCTGCAACATCATCAATTAGTTGAAAAAAAACTTCTTTGGTTGAATTCTTATGCAGAAGTATTTATTTTATTAGGGAAAACGAGTTTTTAACGGTTTCCTAATGCCTTCTTTCGGAGGTCTCCGGTGATGGTTTATCACGTCATAGTAGCAGCTATAGAACTGGAATGCGGTATAGGAGGACATCTTGGGTAGATGCTTTGTAAGCAAGGAAAATTTGGATTTATGGCTGACAAATAGAATACAAAATCACCATTGCTGGAATTTTTCTTGGCACCTTTCTGGTATGATTGGTCGTATGTGGAAAAGAATTCTCTGATTAGCAACGATAACGTCTACACGTGATGAAGATACAAAGATTCGAGAGCGCTCAGTACATCACAGCTCTTCCATCAACTAGTAGAAGACCTTAAGGCGAAATCGACGATGATGTGACCAATAATTGTGTTTGAGAAAAGGTGTCTAAGTGTACCGTCGCGCACCTTAATCTTTGCTTCATATTGTAGTTGAGTGTACCTACCAATTTCATTGCTGTCAGTAACGCCTAGTGAAAGCAGTTCCAGTAGTTCACTGTGGCTGAAGGAGATGTTGACATTCGGTCGGAAGGTGTCCGCAGTTTCGTCGAAGAATGACGCGAATCGTAGCAATTGCATTTCGAGAATCGACGAGTGTAGCAACTGCATTTGGCACACAAGCGGTAACTATAATCTTTGAATCAGTAACTTTTGCGAGAAAGTTGTTCCTTTTTTTCTGAATTAAATGTAAACATAAAAGTGTTGATAAAAAAGCTGAATCATTAATGATGACAAAGAAGAGGACAAGATACGGTGAGTTAAGTGGTGTGAACTCTCCCCTAACTCTATTGAAAAGTACTAAAGGAATTACCGTGTCCCAAATTGCAATCACTCTTGCGAAGTCACTACTTCTTCTGACGATAGGCCGAAGTGTCTCAGTTAGCTGATCATCCGAATCTTTAGCGATCACGCGGTCCGATAATATTGTCGCCATAGGCTGATCAATGTGTCGGCAATAGGACTTGGTAATCAGATTAATCTAGAAGAATACATGAAAAAAAAGTTGGCTTCATCATGGGCCTGGCATCTTTTGCGCTCCTCATAAGCCCTTCTTTTGTGTCTTCGCTAAATTTTTTAAAGACTAATTTACTATGTAATCAGTTTACCTCTGGCTTTTCGCCTGCTCTGAAATTTATTTAATGTGACAGCAACGATTAAAAAACAGAAGAACGACATTAGTGAACAGTGGTGCTTACCTCAAAAGTCAGATCTCTAAGATGTGAATCACTAAGCGGTGGCCCTTTAACGACTGAGACCAACTGTTCTAGATGTCGACGTTCACGGTTTCCTTTAATTAATTCTCGTTTCTGCACACGCTCCTCCTCATTCAGCACCACTAAAGTACTTCGTACGATTGACGAATGCGATTCGAAGGAAAGAGTAAGTAACATATTTTGCTTGTGAATAATTTATTTTAAGTTGGACAACATCTATACCACAATGGCGGAAAGCGGCATATCTAAGTAGATAGTAGATTCATGAAAGCTGCGAACTTTTGAAAGTGATTTTGGGTCTACAAGGTGATAGCAAAACCCTTGCTCAAACCAAAAAGATCAAGTTCACATTTAACTCTCTCAGAGATTATACGAATGACATAAATTTTCCAAAAATGGGGTGATCCACTGAGAGCTTGATAACTCGAGGCACTTCAGTTTCTAGTGGATCAGAATCGTAGCAATCTAGTCACTTACAATCGGCGCTCATTCCTGCTTCAATGCATTTAAGATAGCGACATCGTTGGCAGACGTTTCGTGTTTGTTTGTTGATCTCACACTTTTCGTCAGCCTTACAAACATAGCTGATATGACGCTGAAATGTGTCTCGCATGAGCAAACTCCGCTTCTTAATCTCATGTGAACAAAGTTTTCCATGGATTCCGCATGAACAAGGTTTACTACTGATTTTATATCATAAAGTCCACTTGTCCACCCAACGGTTTACCGCCTCATCACGGCTGAGAGGTATTTATGGGTGTCGGACTGCGATCTACAGCAGGGGTATTCATCTCCTCGGCAGGGTCTCCCAAGTTGGAAATGAGTCCGGCATTTTCACCAGGAAGCCCACCAATACCAGCATCCATCACCATTCTGGTATCAAACTAGTCGCATGGTGACAAATCTTTCTGTGATCAACAAAAGGCGACGACTGCCTGTGGTTGTGACCACCTGGGGTATATTTAGGCTAGGCTGACCTGGGATTCCAGAGAAACAGAATGGTTAAACCAGCAAAGCTCAAAAAATTGGAGAACGTGCTGGGAACCGCACAACCCGTGAGGGTGGTACGGCAAAGTATTCAAGTATCCAAGTAAGTCTACTTCTTATCCCATGTGGACAAAGTTCGTGACTGTGATGAAAAAAATTCTTCATCGTTTGACCGGGAAAGTAGAAGGTAGCCAATTTTCGTAATTGAATTAGTAGTCGATCTAACTCTTATGTGAATTATTCACAGATTCCTATGTATTTGCATAAAGGAAAAAAGGGGAAATAACTCGACCTGAGATGTTCGACGGAAGAATCCCTTGCACCCTTCGCAAGTTATAGCTCTGAAACATAGAAAAAAGGCTTAGATGTTCGCCTTTGATTTTTGTCACGTTTACTATATTTTATCTTAGCCCAGTATTTCTCAGATGGTAACCAAACATATGTATATTCATATTTAAAAATAAAGCTGTATGATCAATAATTTTCGATTAGCTTCTGGTGCTACAAGTCAAATAATCTGGAGATGAAACAGTTGGCTAGATTTTATTGCAACAAGTAATGGAAATTTAATGTGAAAAGCGGCGCATTTCAGCAAAATCTGTATCTAATCAGTTGAGCCCGTCTTCATCTAGAATTCTGAGGTGGTGTAATGGGATTTCCAGATCGTCACCACCATGTGTAACCACCGCTCCTCAGAGTTCGAAGATTTGTCGCTTCACAACCAACTTTCATGCAGACGATAGAAAATCTTTGCATTAGGTAACTCGACATATCAAGCGCTTCCAGCTGGAAACGAATGCCTTCTTTTCAACACAGGTGATGCTGTCGGGAGTTGAAATCTTTTCTGCACACCGGAGTTCGACAATGAAACGAACCTCTCTTATAAAAGCTCCCGAGATCGACTTTCTATTGACTTCGGCATTGGATTATAAATGTGTCGTTTTCTCTCTCAGCAATAGCGAAATTGTCAAACAGCATACATTTACTTCCATACAATAACATACATACAACACAATTGCAGCTGACGTTTCTGCAGTATTGCTGTATTCAGAGCACGGAAGGGTACACTGATACGCAATTTACTAGGTCAAACCCTTCAACAGCACTGGCGGAAAAGTGAAAATCTGGAAAATAATTATCGCTTAGATTTTCATCTCTTTGTTTGCGCTGTTGAAGCGTTGACCTAGTAAATTACGTATCAGTGTACCCTTCCAGGCTCTGAAGAAGGCGATACTGCCGAAACGTCAGCTGAAGCTGTGTTGTGTGTGTTCTTTTTGTACGAAAAAACGTGGACTGTATAGCAACTCTGCGAGTGCTGAGACAGAAAGCGATACCTTTGTGAATACCTCTTACTACGGTCAAACGGTAAGCTATCGGATGAAGAAAATCTATGCAAGAAAAAATCGATAGTTCCAATGAAAAAGTGTAATCACGAAAGTCCGTTAAATGGTGCCGATCTACATTTTGCGCCCACATCAACTTCAGAGAGAAGGGAAAGTAGTCTGGGAGAATTTTTTAAAACAGATTTGCTATCAACCTATTTTTTAGTTTCTAGAATAAAGGCCGAGGAATGTCTGAACGGCATACTAAAAAGTCATCTCTTCAAGTTTTTTTTTCTCTTTGATAGAAGCTTCCTCGTGAGGATGCGAGCCATAGTTCTGAATACATTTGGCTCACATTAACCCACAAGGGCTCAAAATATGTGGAAGCCGCGTAAGGTTTTTTGTAGTGCTTCGACAACGTTTTAGTAAGATTGAGCTACTCTTTTAAAAGAAAGAAGCACAAGTTGGGTAAACCATGTTATCCAGCATAGCATAGATCATAGTAGGAAGATAAGTACTGATTAGGTATGAAAAATGGAATGAAGCAAAATGAAACAAAAGAGTAAACAAAAAAAACCTGTAGTGCAATCCCGTTGCCGTGTCACCGCATACGACACAAACCTGACCGTCTTCCATGTATGACGGCATATAAGGAGTGACTGTAAGAAGAAATATTGACCCTTTGTCGTGCTTTTCTGTACTTCATTTTTACCCTTTTCTAGCGAATGCTCATAGTGCTGATAGGAGAGTTTATCGCTACATCCAAGAAAAACAAGAGGTAAAAGTAAGAAATTTTTTGGAGGAAATTAGGCTAGAATTTCGAGGAATCCACCAGATCTCAGCTAGCCTAGCGCATTATCAAAAGAACTGCTTAATCAACTACCTTGGGCATAAGATTCTTTCGTGTATCTTTTTAAAACATCTTACATTATTAAAAACAGTGAAATTGTAAATATCTGTTTTCCGAAGGATGGCACTAGATGTTTAAGTTTAATCCTTTCCATGATAAGTTTGTTTTGAAGCAACGTCGTAGATGTTTTTTTTTGAATTTCCAGTTTCTCTAAAGTATTCTTGCACTGAAGAACGTATAGAAATAGGAAAAACCGATGACATAGTAGCAGTACTTTATACGCACTTCCAGGTTCACTGGGCACGTGTCCTCTGGTGACATACGGGCTTCCAACATTAGAAAAAGGGATGATTATTATTTCTATTCTTATTTGTTTGTACGAACTATGAGTTCTTAATTATTTGTATGAACGACTTAACTCCAGAGTTGAGCAGAAGGAAACGAGAGGCTTGGGGAGCCTTCAACAGCAACGAGAATGTAGTGAGGAAGATAAAGAACACCCGACTCCAAGCTCACCTTTTTGACTCATCGGTGCTTCCTGCGTTAATGCATGCGTCAGAAACCTGGTCGCTGCGTAAACAGGATGAAAAATCACTCAGCGTTATTGAACACGCAGTCGGAAGGACAATGCTAAGAGTATCCCATGTCACGCAAGTAAGGGAAGGGATCCGAAGTTCCGACCTACGTCAACGTTCAAAAATCACAGGTGCCATTCTGTACACCAGACAGTCGATGATAAGGTGGGCCGGACACGTAATGCGTATGAACGACAACCGGTCGACAGGAACCGTCTGTGGCTTTATTCCTCGGGATATCAAATGTACTGCAAGAACGCCACCGACTCGATGGTCAGAGTTCTTCAGGAAAGGTCTAGAAGAAAGATATGATGTGCAGCGAGTCCGTAGAGCAAGCAGGGCTATTCTGGGCTATTCTTGCACTCGACAGGGAAAAATGGAAGATTTACTAGCGCCCGCTCGAGTCACTCGACAGTCAAAGGGCTACAGATCATACAGTTGATTCGTATTTGCTTCGTATTATTGAAGGAAGTATACTTATCTACAGATGCTCGAACGATATTGAACTTTTTCGTTCATAGTTTAAAAGTTTGTGTCATTTCTCCTATCACCTATTTCAATCGTTTCCAATTAGTACTCCTGGCTCACTTAACTGCAGTTCAAGTCTGAAAATAGAGACAGAGTAACTCTTTGATCCTATATACATCAAGAAATGTTCGTAGACTAATATGATCTTTGATTTCGTTTAAATAATGACTTGCGGTGACTAATCGATATATCAAAACGGTGTCCTTAAGTCCAGATAAGGCCAGAACCACTTCACCGATTCCCATAAGATAAAAGACTTTTATCAGACGCTGGTTGAACTAAAAACCAGAAGTACGCCTTTTATAAACTTAAAGTTAACTCATTAATGAAAAAATAAATAAGGATCAGGTATGTCTCACAAGACATCTGTAACTACTGCGCTACGCGCTACAGGAGCTCTGTAAGGCAAGAACAAGTAGGGATTAGATAAGGGAACAGGAGCGCTGATTAGCGACCTAGACAGCGCTTAATACCGATTTTTCGACTTAATAAATGGTATGAGGGTTTTTTAAATTATGATGAAGAAGTGATTTCCGCAAAATACCGCAATGTGCATGGCGGACCAAGTATGGCTCCTTTTCTACTTACCTATGACTTCGTCGATAGTTGGTTCTCATAGGTGTCATGACAGTTCAAGAACATGTTCCTAACCGCAGTCGGTGATTGAGGTCTGGTGACCGCCTTTCAGGTGTTGACCGATGATTATCTCCAAGTACCGAAGCATTCCACTTGTTCCCTTTACAATCGTTTAGGGTGTCGTAAAATGCGAGTCGTTGTAAGTTTCTGAGTTGGTCGTTTTGTGCAAGGTCTTGACTTTTCTATGTCAGGCTGGTGATGTTTGGAGTTGACAAGATGATATAGTTGGACAGTAAGTCGTTTCAGAGCAAGGAATGAAACTGTTACTATAGTCATGCAACTGGTCTTGTAATAGTGTTCAGTTATTTCATTGGTGGAAACTGACTATTATAGCCAGAGTAAGAGAAGGTGCAATGCGGCAATCATTTTTTAGAAGTTTTTCACCCTCTCTCAGTGCTTTTAGGATTCGTTATGGATTTGAAACAGTTCTCTTCAGAAGATGCGATCAAAAATTCGCATGACGACCATCATCTTCCACAACTGCATTATTGTTTTCCAGTCCACATGTAGCTGAATCGTATAATATTTTACAAACAAATATGTGCATATGAAAATTGTAATACTTTTCGGACTCTTCAAATTATTAACTTTTTGTTTTCTGCCTAGTATTGTTTTTGATTGTATTTTGCACTCTCTCAGTGGTGCTGTGTGCAACACGTGAACCTCCGGAAAGGGTAATCGTGAATTCAAATCTGGCCTAAGGTCCAAACTCTGCAAACACCTCGGCGTCATAGCGTCATTGTAATTTTATCCATAAGTGATGCGAAACTGTTAACTAACTGGAACCAAGTCAAAGTCGATGAAGATTGTTTACCTGGGGATTTCAAATATAAGGGCTCGTTACTTTAAAAGAACTCCAGTTACGATTCAAAGCACAGTTTATACTTTGCCCGCGATCGATGTTTGTCGGAAGAGTTGCTGTGACCTGATATTTTCCACCGTGCCACCTGTTGCGTAATAGGCAGACGAGTAGCCTGTAAGCCGCTCAGTGGTGGGTGAGGAAGCTTTGCAGAAAAGACAGGTAGGAGATACAGAAACAGCAAGAAGAGGGCGATGAGAAGAAAAGAAAGGAGAAAGGGCTCGTGGACTAATGGGAGAATGGAGAAGGGAGAAGGATTAGACAAGGAAAGAGATTATATGCCGAAAACATTTCTACAGTAATCAAGAGAGGCTGGTGGAGTTCATTTGTGGCCTTAAGTGAAATTTGTTAGAAATCGGATATACCACTTCTTTGAACGATTGTTGCTGGTTACTACAGAAGATGTTCGATTGTTAAGAAATTTAATGCACGTGTTTTCCTTCCATCCATGCTCCAACACCTCGTTGAAGCAAAAGGATGTTACTGAATGTCGAATTGTGATGTCTAGCAGATAGCCCAACCTCATAGGATCACTGAGACTGCGGAATTCGACATTTCATCTAGAAGACTAGTTTAGAGTACACGCATGCACGTATGAGAACAACTAACAACTCTTTTGTCAAAAAGAGTTGAGGTCCCTGTATCTAAGGGGTGATAATCACCATGTTTTCATGTTTTCGGAGCAACCGAAGCTAATCAAGTACTCCTGATGCACAAGAATAGCAAATGGAGACCTTAGTAGCAGTTGTTTTGTCATTCGACGACTAACAGGAGGAAGAAAGATGGTGCAGGTTGCACTTTTGTGCTACGCTTATCAGCATCAAATTTTGAGCAGCAGGTAGTGTTCTCTGTGCTCTTATTCTCCAAGCTTTTACCTAATCGTTACCGCGCTCACTGGGTTATGTAGCATCCTTAACTCGCCATAAGTTATTAATAAACATTTAGTTCATTATTAAAGGTGGAGCTGCAAACTATGATATCGGTGATAATCGTCACAATGACTCACCTCGGCTTCGTTGTCGCATTGGTGTGCTGGTCATTGGAGCCATATTGACTGTATATTGATCGAAAATGTCTTAGTTATCCTTCTCAGAATATACAGTATGTTAACAGTAACTGAAATTGATGATACTGGCAGTATATATGATATTTGTAGACGGTCGGATGCCAACGATTGCTCCTCCCCCTAACAGTTGAGGTCGTATTGCGCAACGGGTGCGTTTGTAGTCAACACAGCCAACCAAATAAAGGCTTTAAGGTAATACCAGATACGGTAGTGATCGCCATATAGTCAAAAAATCATTAGGAAGAAAGCGCCCACAAATAACAGGGTCCAATAAAGTTTCTAAAGCATAGAAAATCCACCTCAATACTTCGTAATTATTTCAGATAGTTTTCGTTAACTGACAACTTATGCCACCATTGGCTCACTGTCGCTTCTAGTAGTGGCAAGATGTCCAGATGTTTTGAGGTGCCGTAACCCAGTCTCAGACCGTCTAGAGTCTTAGTTTGAAGCCAGAGATTTACTACGACAGAGCTTGGTGTGCAACTCGAATCACTTACTGCTCGCAAAGCAACGAGCATGTACAAAAGCCATCGCTTTAATGGTGTGATCATCTTTGTACTCTTCTAGCGAGCAAAACCTACTGGAAGGCAATGGGAACGAAGGTGAGCTTTACTGTTACCACCTCGACTTGCGTGTCATTGATTAATAAGATTACGAGAGATGCAGCTGATATTTGTTAGCTTAGGAATTAAATTCATAAGTCTACTGGATTTCCATCACGCTATTTTTCACTTTTTTCTGATCACCCTTACAGGCTGTCGTGATAGAATGTCATCAATAAACGAGGTCTTGGCTAACTATGCAGTGTTGGATTCAGCATAGGAATGTGTTCAATTTGAAGCTTCAAAATTCGTAGTTAAAGAAATGGTTGTTTCGGGTAGCTAGGCAGATAGGCACGGATGATTTCAATAAAACAAAGCCACTTTACTCGGATTTCCTCCAGCAAACCCCAAAGAAAGCAACAAACATCTTTCCAACCCACAATAGCCGGCAACCGGGAATCCGTTGTGAAGATGTGGTGCAACTGTTGCGTGACTATTTCGGAATTACACGAAGACGAAACTGCTGTCGACAAGAATTCAGCATAAAAAGAAGGAAAAAAGTCGGCAGCATCAGTTGGAACTTAAGCCGAATTTAATCGTGTCTGTGAGTAGGCACTGGATGAGAACGGAGCGAATATGAGGAGTGACAGCCCTGATTTCATTCAAAGACTAGGCAACAGAGTACCTCGGTGGGCCTAAATTTTTCGTACTATGAAGCTAATTCTTGAAAATTGGGCAGTCAATGTTACCTGTAACTTGTTCTTTCTGTAAAATTAGAAAAAATCATTGTCAAAGTATTACGCGAATTTTTCTTGATCTCTTCCACAAAGTTATTAAGGCGTTTACATGACTTGTTACAGTCTTTGGATATGGAATTAAGTGCTAAGAACAGATCACAAAACAAAAGAAAGACGAGAAAGATTCTCTCTTCGCTATCACTTCAAGACTTTTCGAACCAGTTTGGGAAACAATTTTAGAAGGTTCCTATGCATTTCAAGGAAAAAGTTACCAACTTTTCAGTCGTATGAAAATTGCACTTCAGCGGTCTTTCTAAGGCAGTGTGAACGCTTGCGTAAGTTGTGCATTATTATGAAGCGCATTACGTCGTGGCGTAAGACCTTCTGGTATTG